CCACCTGCCAATGCAGGAGACACCAGGGATGTGGGTTTGATCCCTTGGTCAGAAAGATGCCCTGGAGGAGGACATGGTAACCCACTCCCATAGTCTTGCCTGGAGAATCCCATGGACAGAGGAGCTTGGCAGGTTACAGTTCATGGGGTCTCAAAGAGTTGGACACAACTGAACATGCATGTGCATCCTTGATCCTTAGCTGTTAGCTTTACATCGTTGTGTCTTTCAATTTATGGTCTCAAGATGCCCACTGAATTTTCAAACAAAGAAGAAGAGGGAAAGACCACTTCCAGTCCCTACCATGCCTTTTATCAAGGAAGAAAAAGTTTTTCCAGAAGTCCCCAGTAAACATCTTTGCAAATTTGTTTGGCCAGTCTGGGTCATTTAGACACTCCTACCTCCAAGAGAATCTGGAAATCAACTGTATTGAAAAGAATAACAGAATGAGCTTAGATCAATTATGATTCATCCTCTGGAGCTGGGCAGACTGTTGCCTGTATTAGTTGGCTATTGCTGTGATAATGCTTGATAACAAGCAACCCCAAATTCCCAGTGGTTTACAAGAACAAGCATTTTGTTTCTTAATTATGAGCAAGTAGGTCATTTGTGTTGAGTAGGAAATGGCAACCCACTCCAGGATTCTTGCCTGGGAAATCCTTTCGACAGAGGAGCCTGGCGGGCTATAATCCATGAGGTCACAAAGAGTCAGACACGACTGAGTGACTAACACACATAGGTCATTTGTGACTCTGCTGGTTTGACTGGCATCTACTGGACTTGAATGTAGGCTGTATGTGTTTTCATGTCCACTCCATATATCTTCTTATTCAGGCACTACTGGCCACATAGCATATTCTTCTCATGGCAAATGACAGGTGCACGAGAAGCCAGGTAAAAATCATACCAACACATTTAGAGAATCTGCTCATATCCTGACCAGTAACATTACATTTGCCAGACAAATCACCTGGCCAAGTCCAATACAAACTAGGCAAGAATATATGCTCTGCCTATCCCAGTGGAAAGGGCTATAAAGTCATGTGCCAAAAGGTGTGTTAATGGATGTATAATTAAGAGAGAGAGAATGAAGGACTGGGAACAAAAATTCAGTCTCTCCCCTAATTCCACCAACCTGGGGAATGAGAGAGAAAGGAATGGCTCTTGGGTAGGCATCAAACAGAGTCTTCCCACCAGAGTAGTCAAAAGAAGCCTTAGAAAGTTATTCTTCTGATTTAGAGAGGGAAGAGGGGAAAGTAAGGAGACAGTAAAGTTACACACTGCTCTCCTGGGCAGGGGTTTCCAGCTGTAACACTGACGGATAGTGGAATAGGCTGACATAGACTGTTTAACAACTCAAACCCAGTCTCACAGCCTGACTGCCTGCGGTGCCAGGTATGACACTAAGCACTTCGAATGCATTAACTCACTTTAGCTTCACAACAAATTTATGAAGCTTTTTCACTTTACAGTGAAGTGGTCAAGGGACTTAGGCAGCTGCGCACACATGGCAAAACTACCACTGAAGCCCAAATCCCTCAGATTTCATTCACTCAGGCATCTACTATTTACCAGGTGTTGACTGAGGATGCAGGCCAATAACACAGTCCCTGACCTCCAGGACTTCAGATCTCAGTCTCGAAGTTTCCCAGCCCACTGGACTTAACATGTCAACTTAAAAAAATGAGTCCAACTGGAGGAATCAACCTGCCTGACTTCAGGCTCTACTACAAAGCCACAGTCATCAAGACAGTATGGTACTGGCACAGTGACAGAAACATATATCAATGGAACAGAATAGAAAGCCCAGAGATAAATCCACGTACCTACGGACACCTTGTCTTTGACAAAGGAGGCAAGGTTATACAATGGAAAAAAGACAACCTCTTTAACAAGTAGTGCGGGAAAACTGGTCAACCACCTGTAAAAGAATGAAACTAGAACACTTTCTAACACCACACACAAAAATAAACTCAAAATGGATTAAAGATCTAAATGTAAGACCAGAAACTATAAATCTCCTAGAGAAGAACATAGGCAAAACACTCTCCGACATAAATCACAGCAAGATCCTCTATGACCTACCTCCCAGAATATTGGAAATAAAAGCAAAAATAAACAAATGGGACCTAATGAAACTTAAAAGCTTTTGCATAACAAAGGAAACTATAAGCAAGGTGAAGACAGCCTTCAGAATGGGATAAAATAATAGCAAATGAAGAAACAGACAAAGGATTAATCTCAAAAATATACAAGGAACTCCTGCAGCTCAATTCCAGAAAAATAAATGACCTAATCAAAAAATGGACCAAAGATCTAAACAGACATTTCTCCAAAGAAGACATACAGATGGCTAAAAAACACATGAAAAGATGCTGAACATCACTCATTATCAGAGAAATGCAAATCAAAACCTCAATGAGGTACCATTACACGCCAGTCTGGATGGCTGCTATCCAAAAGTCTACAAGCAATAAATGCTGGAGAGGGGGTGGAGAAAAGGGAACCCTCTTACACTGTTGGTGGGAATGCAAACTAGTACAGCCGCTATGGAGACCAGTGTGGAGATTCCTTAAAAAACTGGAAATAGAACTGCCATATGACCCAGCAATCCCACTTCCGGGCATACACACCGAGGAAACCAGATCTGAAAGAGACACATGCACCCCAGTGTTCATCGCAGCACTGTTTATAATAGTCAGGACATGGAAGCAACCTAGATGCCCATCAGCAGACGAATGGATAAGGAAGCTGTGGTACATATACATGATGGAATATTACTCAGCCATTAAAAAGAATTCATTTGAATCAGTTCTAATGAGATGGATGAAACTGGAGCCCATTATACAGAGTGAAGTAAGCCAGAAAGATAAACACCAATACAGTATCCTAACACATATATATGGGATTTAAAAAGATGGTAACGATAACCCTATATGCAAAACAGAAAAAGAGACACAGATGTACAGAACAGACTTTTAGACTCTATGGGAGAAGGCAAGGGTGGGATATTCAGAGAGAACAGCATTGAAACAAGTATACTATCAAGGGTGAAACAGATCACCAGCCCAGGTGGGATGCATGAGACAAGTGCTCATGGCTGGTGCACTGGCAAGACCCAGAGGGATGGGATGGAAAGGGAGGCGGGAGGGGGGATCGGGATGGGGAACACATGTAAATCCATGGCTGATTCATGTCAATGTATGGCAAAAACCACCACAATACTGTAAAGTAATTAGCCTCCAACTAATAAAAATAAATGGGGGAAAAAAATGAGTCCAAGACAAATGTGTTTTATTTTTTAAATCAATATACTTTATGCCAGTTAAACTTCTAAAGGCTTATCATTTTATATTCCAATAAACCATCATGCCTACTCTTTGAGATAAGTACTATTATTCCACAGTTTAAGTATGAATAAACTGAGATCCTGAGAGGTTACCTTTGTTACTTTTCTGAGAGGGAGTGTTCTCACATCATGTATGGATGTGAGAGTTGGACGGTAAAGAAAGCTGAGTGCTGAAGAATTGATGCTTTTGAACTGTGGTGTTGGAGAAGACTCTTGAGAGTCCCTTGGACTGCAAGATCCAACCAGTCATTCCTAAAGGAAATAAGTCCTAAATATTCATTGGAAGGACTGATGCTGAAGCTGAAACTCATCTGGTGTGAAGAAATGACTCGTTGGAAAAGACCCTGATGCTGGGGAGGTCTGAAGGCAGGAGGAGAAGGGGACGACAGAGGATGAGATGGTTGGATGGCATCACTGACTCAGTGGACACAAGTTTGAGCAAGCTCCAGGAGCTGGTGATGGACAGGGAAGCCTGGTGTGCTGCAGTCCATGGGGTCTTTAAAGAGTTGGACATGACTGAGTGGCTGAACTGAACTGAGAAACGGATGGAGCAGGATTAGAAACCAAGCCACTTGACTCCAGAACTCACCTTTTCACCACACCTGCCATGTGCAGTCCATGACCAATAGAATACAGGTTTCTGCAAGTAAAGTAATAAGTCAATACAGCTTTTCCTGATGCATTTTCTCATTAAAAGATACTAGCTATAAACTTATTGCATAAAGGCCTGTTAACTACTTTATATTAAAAAGGGTTCCTCACACTTAACACAGGCTTTCCAGGTGGTGCTCAGTTCAGTTCAGTTCAGTCGCTCAGTCATGTCCAACTCTTTGCGACCCCATGAATTACAGCACACCAGGCCTCCCTGTCCATCACCAACTCCCCGAGTTTACCCAAACCCATGTCCATTGAGTCGGTGATGCCATCCAAGCATCTCATCCTCTGTCGTCCCCTTCTCCTCCTTCCTTCAGTCTTTTCCAGCATCAGGGTCTTTTCAAATGCGTCAGCGTGGCCAGAGTATTGGAGTTTCAGCTGCAGCATCAGTCCTTCCAAAGAACATTCAGGACTGATTTACTTTAGGATCGACTGGTTGGATCTCCTTGCAGTCCAAGGGACTCTCAAGAGTCTTCACCACCACAGTTCAATAGCATCAACTCTGCAAAAGCGCCAGGTGGCGCTACTGGTAAAGAATCCGCCTGCCATTGCAGGAGATGCAAGAGACGCAGGTTCGATCCCTGGGTTGAAAAGATCCCGTAGCGTAGGAAGTGGCAAACCTCTCCAGTATTCTTGCCTGGAGAATCCCATGGAGAAAGGCGCCTGGCAGGCTACAGTCCGTGGGGTCACAAAGAGTCGGACATAACTGAGCATACTTTAAACACTTGGGGTCGTGGGTCTGGTATTTTTTAAGTGTTTCAAAATTATAAACTAAGAGGGAAGATATTAAAATATAAAGTGACAGTTGTAATTTCTTTTTCCTTAAATCTCAGCGACTGGATTTCATTGATTCCACTATTTTATCTGATTGATGTTCACATAATCCTTTACAACTGCTAATTAATCACACTACATTTTAGCAATAATTATTAAACTCACCTCGTATGGGGGTGCTGGAGGCACCTCTGGCGCCCTCTTGCCTGCCGGTCCCACCGAAGAGTCACAAGTGGGGCGGCAGCCGGTCATGCCGGCCCCTGGTCCCCGGCCACCTGGCGACACAACTGCGGGCGCGACTTGTCGGCACCCGGGGGGGCGCTGCGGAGCGCTGATTCCCCGGAGCTGCGGGGCTGCCGCCCGCCGGCAGCCGCCCGCCTGCTGCCGCAGCACTTCGGTCCAGAGCCCCCGACTCCGCGCTGAGGACCAGACCCCCCGCCCGCTCTGCAGCAGCCCGGCCCTGCGTCCTATCCAGGGCGCCTTTCAAATGGAGCAAATTTTTCAGAGCATCAAGCAAGACTCTAGTCATTATCAGAAGTGGAGTCATTCAGAAGTTGTTCTTAAAGCTTGTGTTTTGGGAAGTCATCTCTTTCCTCGGCATGCCCACCGTCTAGGTTCTCCAGGTTCCTCCTGGATGAGCAACAACCAGTCCTCCTTCATCGCCCAACAAGTTGGAATAATGTGTGAGCATCTCTTAAAAGACTAAAAAGATCATATTTGGGAAGGATATGAGCAAATCCTCTACAGCTAATTAGCAGAATGGTATGACTCTTTTGTGAAATTCACACATCGTGAGATTATGCCACGAGATGGGAGGAGGCCAACAAATTAAGTGTCCTGAAGCTTTTTGCACATCTGGGTACCAGGCCAGCCATCAGAGAGATGGCTGGTATGTACTTTTTGCAGCTGGTTTGGTTTCGCATTTCACTCCAACTTTACTACATCCTGAGAACACTTAAGTGTTTCTACAGGTCCTTTTTATGAACTTAAACTTTCTGATTGCAACAAGGATCTCATTTCTGTTCGCCCAATAAATAGCCATGCCCTACTGGGATAGATTTTTCAAACAAAACACTTGGAGGAACAACTTAGCAAAATATACCTTCAGCGGCGTTTAACGAATGGAGTTTCCCCATGCACAATTCTGTAAGACGTGTGTGTGTATCTTTTACATTATTGCTTGTTTTGTTCAATTAAAAAAAAATCCTTGGGGATTCTGGCTGTGAATGTGACACGTGATAACTGTGGTTAAAAGACTATGATCTTCTACAGATCATTAATGTTTTGTGACCATGTATTTAATACATTGCCACAGTGGATTCTGTATAGGAATTATGGTTAAATACAGGGGCTGTTTCCAGGCACAGAATGTGAATCATAAGTTAGTACGGACATCAGATGTTCTTATAATGATATAGCAAAGTCTGTGGTCCTAGGTCTGCAAATGCATGGTGGGGAAGTAGGACAAACCAGAAATGAACCACTGACAGCTGGATTCTCTCTAGCTGGTATTAGGAAAATACTTTGACTCCAACACTTAAACACCCACGTGGCGCCTGTGTTCACTCAGTCGCATAAAGAGCTCCCTGGACACTGAACCTCTAAAAAGAAAACACTTCCTCTGGAGTGAAAGCATCAGGATTTATTTGGGAGCTTAGCAGAGGTGAGCATAGGGTGGGCCTGATTCAGGAGGCATTGCTGCTTGGCAGAAACCACTTGACCTTTGTATCTGTTCTAAAAATAGAACTTGGATTCTTTGGTCAGATTCCCCCAAATTCTTCTAAGAGGTGTCCATATCCAACTGGCTTGAGCTTGGTTTCGGAAGCCCTTCCGTAAAATTGCTTATGGATTGTTTTTCACATTGTTTCCAAGGCAGAGAAACAGAAAGCAGCCTCTGCTGGGAGGAAGTAGAAGTTAAATATACATTTATTTATTAACAATGACTTGTTCAGGACCACATTTTATAAAATGCTTTGTTTCTTTTATTATTGTTTCTAGAAAGAAAAATTCTATTAAGACTAATAGTTTCAATATGGAATAATTTTTTAAATAGGATTTATTTGGGGACTTCTCTGGTGGCTCAGTAGTAAAGAATCCACCTGACAATGCAGGAGTCATGGGTTCGGTCCCTGGTCCCGGAAGATCCCACATGCCAAGGAGCGAGTAAGCCCTTGCACCACAACTATTGAGACTGTGCTCAAGAGCCCTTGGTCACCAACAAGAGGAGCCGCCACCATGAGCAGCCCGCCACCACAACTGGAGAGCAGTCCCGCTCGCCACAGCTAGAGGACGCCTGCACGCAACAGTGAAGACCCAGTGCAGCCAAAAATAAATAATACAATTATTAAAAATAATAATAAAATGAAATAGGGCTTATATTGAAAAATTGAGTTTAATTCCAATGGGAAAAAAATTTAAAGGTAACCTTATTGATAAATACAATTGCAAAATTCCTAAATAAAATATTCACAAACTACACTTGAAGGAAAGTTACAGGCTCAAAATAGCCTGGAGTTAAAACTCCCCTCCGGATCCTCCCCACCATTCTATGCAAAATAAAGAACTCTCTTTCTCGAAGAAAAAAATGGGCGATAAGGTTGATTACACCCAGCTCCCAGCTGGTCCCAGCCTCTGGCCAATCTCCAGAATTCCTTACCCCAGCTTTTTAAGAGATGACTAACCTGAACAACCTTGGAGAAGAACAGGCCCCCTTAAGACGGTAGATTTCCACATTCATGCCTATATATACTTACTCTTTTCTTGGGTTAGGGCAGCAGCTCACCAATCTGACTGCTGCCCCTTCTCGCCTCATTAAAGGTGATCTGTTCCTGTAAAGTGAAGGTCTCCTTTTTCTGAACCTTGCCTTCTCTGACTCCCTTACCCCACAACACTCATCACTGTACAAGAAAAAAACACTACATCATAACCAACAGTGGATCAAGAAATGCAAGGATTTTCCAACACTGGAAAATCTATTTATGGAGGTGACTGAAAAATAAATAATAGTTAAATCTTTAGTAATAAAGGAGATTCCCTAAGAAAGACAAAGTAGATAAAGTGATTCCCAAGAATGTGATTGGCAACATTTAAAACGTATGCAAAGGAGATCTGAAAGGAACAGCCAGTTAAATGAGGGTAGAACTGGCAAGAGGGATGTGCGGTGTCCAGGCATTGGAGAGAAGAAAGTGTTTCAAGTGGTCAAGCCTTGAGACGTCAAGTAAGATGAGGACTGAGAACTATTAATTCAGAATGGTACTGGTCATTGTTTCTGGGATAATCACAATTTCTGTGGAGTGATGGGAGAGAGACCTCATTAGACTAGGTTAAGGAAAAATATGAAGTGAGAAAATGGAGCTCAGACTATAGAAAATTCTTTTAAGAAGTTAAGAGTTGAAGGGAACAGATAAATGGGGTGGTAACTTGGCTCTTTTAAGAGGAATTGATAAAAGAAAGGTGTTATTTCTTTGTATATTGTTTTATATTTGTTGGTGTTATTTAAAGATGATAGGTACTGGACATATTTTATACCAAAGGGAAAAAAAAAATCAATGAGTAAAAGTTTGATGATGCAGGAAGAAAAGACATAATTATGGGAGTAATGCTTTCTCCCTCTGCCAGGAACACCTTGCCAAACTCCAACTCAGGTGAAAATCAACTGTCTTCCATGCTTCTGAGCTTAGTAGGGGAATGGGGGGTGGGGGGTACTTGACTACAAGTCTCAAAAGAACACTTAACACTAACCAACAATCCTTCCACACTTTGCTAATATGATGACTTTGCCTCTCTCCAAAATAACTACATCACACTCTCTTCTCTCTCCAAAAGCATATGTTCTTTTCCTCCCCCACTAAAATAGGAGCTGTTAGGTAGACATCCTCTCATCTTCACACCACCACATGCACCTGTCTTCTTTCTTCTCTCTGTGTGGTGTGGACCCCACTTCATTATAATAGGACACCAGTTAAAGGATAACTGAAATATGCAGACTTTCTTAGAAGAAAGCCTCAGTCCAAATAAAGCTGAAAAATCACTAAAACTATACACAATAAAAATGTGACTGAAATGAATGGAAAAATTCAATCTCCTTGAAAAAGTTATATGCACAAACTGACCTGGGAAAATTAGATTTGGTAGTAATAATGCACCCAAATAAAGGTCCAGTGCTATGTGTCATCAGCAATAAAAATCTTTTTTAAAGACTCCACATAAGTACAGTATTTCTCTGATTTACTTCACTTAGTAAACTACCTTCAAAGCTCATCCATGTTATTGCAAATGGCTGTGATAACCTTTAATGTTCTTTAGAAAGAACCTCAGTGTCTTTACCGAGAAACAAATTTCAAGCCATTTGCTGCTTTGCATTTAAATAAAGAGCTTGGCCATAGCCCTTTCAACCTAACAACAAGTAAAAAGCTGTACATACTGAAAAATCCACAATCTCCTTGGATCCATAAAAAGGGAAGGACACACCGCAAACTTCTGCCCCCAAGATTGGAGAGACAGACAGCAAATACAGAGTTACGACTCATCAGACCAAAAACCCCCTCGGGAAACAGTTGCAAGCTAGGAAAGCTGGGCCTGTAACCGATGCACTGCTGGAGGCTCAGCGTGGACCACTCTGAGAATTAAGAACTTCAGGGGACCCAGTCATAGAGAGCCCCCGCAGTATGGTGAGATTTGTTTCCAGGAGCTCAAGCAGGTTCACGTATTAAATGTTGGAGAAAAATCCTCTCCTGTTTCCAGCAGGAGGTGGGGAAAGGGGCCTATTTTGAAATATGTCAGCGCGTTCGCAACTAGGCCGGCCCTCAGGTTAAACAGAGTTAACCAGATCCCGACATGCTGGAGTGTTATTAAAACCTAACTCACCAGGCTGGGGAAGGAAGCCACTCCAGTCAGCTCCAGCCTTCCTCACGGGGAGTGGAAACAGCCAGCCCCAGGCCACTCTCGCCATCCTCTCCCACCTAACTGAGAAACATGTGATTCTCACAGTCCAGAGGTGCAACCTCACTGAAAGACTGAGAGCTAATCACAGGGCTGTAGAATCCTTCCCCCACACCATATACCTCACGACCGTCTTACTAAAGGCCCAATTCAGCATTTCCTTTTACCCAGTAGATCGTGTCTGGTTATCAGAAGAAAAAAAATTACAAAACATACTGAGAGCAAACACCACCACCAAGACCTACATAGTATTCTAATAGAAGAATGCATTGTATTCTACTTATACAGTCTCCTATCTATGTTTAAATTTTCCACCATGCTAAAATGATAAAAACTCTTGTGTATATATAGATATTTGTAATTTGATATTTGTAATCAGATGGTAAATTTCCTTAGGATGCATTGCTAAAAGTCATTTGCCAAATGTTTGAAAATAATAGATTATCAGCTAGCTTAGTAAACAAATACCGTACAATATTATTTATACACGGAATCTAAAAAATACAACTAGTGAATGTAATTAAAAAAAAAAAAACAGA